GTGACGACCTGGTAAGACATGCAGGAAGTCGATAGATGCAGGTGGCTCAGGACCGTACTTTGTGGCATTACTTGGGGGAGGTCTATGTTCAGCACTGGATTTGTGAAGGGCTGTAATGATGATAATGATGAAGTGTCTGCGCATGTAAACTATAGAAAACGACGAAACAAGTGTTTCTATGGTGACATAAACCTCAGGTTATTTTGATCGCTTAGACGCCTTATGAATTTGAGTGAGAGTCGTCATCGATTGCTCGCTGGGTCTAGCTAACGTCAAATATCTCCAAAAAACTTCGCAATGTGACACATCAGCATATTGCGAACGTAGACAGAGAATGCTATAGACAAATTGATATCTTTTGTCGCAGTCACACAAGAGAAAGAGAAACTTACGCCGATGTCGTGTAAAGAAATGAAATAGAACGATGAGATTTCTTGTTTCGGTGAACGTGCCACGTTTTTCAAGGTTTCCACACTACTTTGCAAAACAAATTTTGACAGTAACGTGTAGCGAGTTGTCGCATTTTAATAAAATACAGTTTTAGGTGCTTTGTGTTAAGTAATTACTATTATATTTTGTTGTGAACATTTTAGACATAGTATTCCAACCATTTTTTTTAAAACATGGTGCGGTGTAGTGCTTTAGGGTGTAAAAGTGATAGTGGAACGAAAATGGGTCGTCTTTTTATTCGTAAGTATACCACTCTTTATTGGTTAATAGGCATTCTGTAACATTTTAGAAAATTCATACATTGTATATAATGTACTCTAGACGTAAATTTATCGTTAAAAAGCATAAAAATAACAATTGTAAATTTCAATTTCAATTTCACAATCTTTGGTGTTGCCAGCTTTCTTATAAACTATTAACCACTTAGAGAGCTTAGAGCTTAGGGTTCGTGACAGTAAAAACTGCCAATTGAATAACCAAAATTGACACTTTAATGGCCGAACACCAATTAAAACTTAAAACACACTAATAGATAATCACACTTAACACTTATTTCACTTTATTTCACTCCTAAGTCTTCACTTGTATCGCCTATTCAATACTGCCTCGGTCGCGGTCCCTTATATAGGTCTTTCTCAATTGAAACATACCGAATGTTCGAGCACAAACCGGTCCTAACCGACTAAGTGTAGAATGTTCTCTCCTAGTTCTGCCACTCGATAATAGATGGCGCTAGTGGGAACGATTTAGCATGGCATTTTCTAGAAAGTTCTCTTAATGCCTGCTACTCGATACTAGATGGAGATAGTGGCATTTACTGGCATCAACTATGGCGCGCAACAGTATTCTGCAGTATATAATAATTAAATATCTGAACGATTTAATGGCTTATTGCAGTTTTATGAAGATGATAATTTACGTCGTTTTTATAAATTACGTCGTCATCATTAGGACGAACAGGTTGGACACCAAAACCGTTATCAAGTTTGCAGCAGGTATTTTAAGGATAAAATGTTAATAAAAAAGAAGAAACTTACTCTGCTATTTCCTAATGCTGTAGCTATTCTAGTAAATATTCAGTTAATAACATATTAAGTTTCGATTCAGGTTTTATAAGATTTTTATTCATGTTTAGTGCTTTTACAACTATTTGGTACAATTAACAGCTTAGTTGCAAACATTATTTTGTGCATTTTACTAGCAATAAATGACAGAGAGGTTTCTACTAGACTCTGAATGCGATTCAAATTTTAATAATCAATATTAAAATGTTCTAGCATCTTCCTACACCTATTTTATATTAATTAATGTTTTAAAGATAATTAAATATTTTTTAGGAAACAAACGCCTGTATTCCATCATCTTCCTCCATCAGTTTACACGAAGAAACACTTATAGAAATTGAAAATAATTTAAGTATTCATGTAAGTAAATAATATTAAATAATAATGATCTTATTTTCCCTCGACTTAATACAGTGTTTTGCAATGTATTCTACAGTGTTAAAATAAATTACCTTCATTATAATCTTGGTACATTAATTAATTATCAAGCCGTTTGATCAAGGGATGTTATGTAACAAAAAGTATGGCAGATTTAACATACAAATCACTTGATTTCAGATTGATCCTGCTGTTGACCTACTGCCGTCGACTAGTAAGCATGGTTGAGATGGCTATAAGGAGGCATGTGAAATGGGATGAAACAAAATGTGTCGGTCTGGTGAACTATGGGGGAGCTTTCGATGCTCATGGTACACATAACGCAACAAAAGCATTTGAACCGAGGCAAAAAAATAAGAAACCTTCATTACAAAGCTTGTTTTGTTTGAAGGACAATAATCAATAAAATCTTATTATTAATAAACGTGTTGTATTATTTACTCACGAAGCCAGAACATAAGAAATGGCAGTTATTTAGAACCACATCATCATCATCCATCCTCACCCTCCTGCCCTCATCGCAATTGATTTGAGTTTGACAGCATGTCTTCTCCTCCGCATCGCATGCCTATATCTATCGATGATAATCGGCAAGAGTAGTGTCCCCTTTCAGGCTTTCTTTACGTACTTATTCTAATTTTATGACTAGTTGTGGGGTAATTTTTACCCTAAATATAGTGACGTTTTTTTTTTTGTCTCTTTTTGCGACACGCTTTGCCGGTGTCTACAGCATTCTTGTACCTACTGTACTACGATTGCGAAGAAAAAACTATTTTTTTCTTTATTAACTGGCTTTACGGCTCTGGTTTCTAGACCTTCTTAGCCTATCCTTTCTTTGGGAATCTTCATTTTATGTTCTTTTTCTTCACAATATGCTAATGCGTCACATTGCGAAGCCCTTGGGAGATTTTGACGACAGCTCAACCTAGCGGACAGTTGATGTGACCACTCAAGTGCATTAGGCGCCCAAGCGATCAAAATAAATTGAGGTTTATATCGACATCAAAGCACTTGTTTCGTCGTTTTCTCTAATAGTTCACACGCGCGGACACTTATTTCACAAAATCGCATCACTTTTACGAATCAAAATCCACTTCAAAACATTATTCATGCGACAAAACAGGAGCGACAATCCGTCTACGGCCAAGTTCCCGCCAAAACTAATAAAAAACTATAAAAACCATAGACTTATAGTTCATAAAAGATAGCTTGATCTCTGCGACAGCTGTCAGTAAAAATCACGCCTATGAAGTCCTGAATATCTTAGTAGTACAGACAGTACCTGTCAATGTCATACTTTATGGGCATGCACTAATTAGATCGGCATGCACTAAGTAGACAGAGAAACCTATAGTCTAATGATCGGCGTGGCCTCAAATGAGAAAGGACGATAACGAATTTTTGGGTTATACAATAATCTTTACGACTTTTAAACACATTTAGATAAAAAATTTAATTGTTCAAAGAACTGAACTGAACAAGATTCACCAATCTTAAGGTCACAAAACACTTTTTTCTCACTTAACACTTCTAAACTCCTTAAATCGCTACGCTGTTAAAGTTGTTTGCTACAAAAAACCGGCACGGAGAAAGGGACAAACAATCACACCGCTCTATCTCATTTCTATGCAAGACGTATGCATAAATCTATCTTTTTCGTGTGCGAATGCGAAAGAAGGCGTCAATTTGTCTATAGGTTTCTCTGTCTACGTGTCTGTACTACTAAGAAATTCAGGACTTCATAGGCGTGATTTTTACTGACAGTTGCCGCAGAGATCAAGCTATCTTTTATGAACTATGGAATATACTGGCATAAGTAAGTATATTCTAAGTCTATGATAAAAACGAATATTGAGCATCTTCGTTAAGCTATATCTTCATAAAATGAAGATATAGCTTAAAGAACAAGCATCCAAGCCAAAAAATCTTTGAAAGTTTGACATTGACACACTATATTCAATAACCATCCGTGAGTTTGAAGCGTAGACAGAGAAACCTATAGACAAATTGACGCCTTCTTTCGCATTCGCACACGAAAAAGATACGCATATGCATACACGTATGCAGACGTGTCTTGCATAGAAATGAGACAAAGCAGTGTGATTGTTTGTCCCTTTCTCCGTGCCGGTTTTTTTGTTTAGCAAACTACACTTTGCTAAACAACTTTGACAGTTCGTAGCGATCTAAGTAGTTTACAAGTTGGTTTAAGTGATAAAAAAGTGTTTTGTGAGCTTAAGATTGGTGAATCTTGTTCAGTTCAGTTCTTAGAATAATTAAAATTTTTATCTAAATATGTTTAAAAGTCATAAAGATTATTGAATAACCTAAAACTACGTTATCGTCCTTTCTCACTCGAGGCCACGCTAATCATTAGTCTATAGGTTTCTCTGTCGACGGTTTGGAGTTTTGGTGGGAACTTGGCCGACGACGGACTGCCGCTCCTGTTTTGTAGCTTGAATAATGGTTCAAAGTGGATTTTAATTCGTAAAAGTGATGTGATTTTGTGAATTAATTGTCTGCGCGTGTGAACTATTAGAGAAAACGACGAAACAAGTGATTTGATGTCGATGTAAACCTCAAGTTATTTTAATCGCTGAGGCACCTAATGAACTTGAACGGCTGTCGTCATCAACTGTCCGCTGGGTTGAGCTGTCGTCAAAATCTCCCAAGGGCTTCGCAATGTGACGCATCAGCATATTGTGAAGAAAAGAAAAATGCGCGGGAACCTTGAAATTGGACTGACAAATCTATATGAATTGAAACTTATAAAGATTATAATATAAAGGAGACTTCGCTTTAGCCTTTGCGGTTTTTGAAAATATGAAGAATTAAAGAAAATAAGACTTGACTTCGGCCTTTATGGATTTTGAATAGATGGAAAGAAGAAAAATAAGACTTGGTTCCGGCCTTTACACTTCAAAATTCTCTATATTCAAATTAAAAAAAGACAAGGCTGCATGGCTTAGTTCCTTTGCCTGCTCTCTCGAGTGAATAATAAAAACAACAACAACATCTGTGATTTTAATGTGTTTGACATTGTGATAAATACAAATATTTTTAGAAAAAATATTTTCTCATGAAGCGCTTTAATGTATAAATTTTATGAGTATGGTTTTCCTTACTAAAACCTGGTTTGCCGTTAAGGAGATAAAAGTACCACGTAGCTACTTACGCAGTAAATTTATTGATTCAGTTAGACTACACGTGAAGGGGGGTACCGGAGGCACTGGCCTCCCTAAATTCGGGGGACTTGGTGGACAAGGAGGCTGCGTATACTGCATTGGGAATGAAAATGCGAATCTTAAGAATATTTTAACAAAGTACCGTGCAAAGACTATCAACGCTGGTCATGGTGAAGATAGTCGTAAAACGAAGATAGTTGGTAACCCAGGTTCAGATGTGAAACTTGAAGTCCCACTTGGCGTAACGGTATATAGAGAAGATGGAAAAGTTTTAGGTTCAATCGACAAAGAAGGTGAAACAGTTATTGTGGCCAGGGGTGGTCCAGGAGGAAATCCTGACAACAATTTTTTAGGTCATTTTGGTCAAACACATCATGTACGCTTAGATCTCAAGTTAATAGCAGATATAGGTCTAGTTGGTTTCCCAAATGCGGGAAAAAGTTCACTTCTGAAGGCAATATCAAGAGCTAAACCAAGAATAGCAAATTACCCTTTTACAACAATAAAACCTAACAAGGGAATAATCCCGTATGAAGACTTAAGGCAAATATCAATAGCAGATTTACCAGGTCTTATAGAAGGAGCACATATTAATATTGGCTTAGGTCACAAGTTTCTGAAACATGTAGAGAGAACAAAGTTATTATTATTTATTGCAGATGTACAGGGATTTAGATTATCTCCTAAACATCCAAAGAGATCATGCTTAGAAACAGTTTTACTGCTCAATAAGGAGTTAGAACTGTATGATGTTGAGTTGTTAAAGAAACCTGCTATATTAGCGATAAACAAGATGGATTTAGATGGCGCTGAAGAAATCCTTAAAGATGTGAAAGAATCACTTTCAAATATGGGTCATATTATTGATAAAATTCCGGAAGAGTTGAGGCCAGAAAGAATAATCACTTTTGAAGACATAATTGGAATATCTGCATTAAAAGGAAGCTCTGTTGATGAACTAAAGCAGCTTCTCAGGAAGAGATTAGATCAGTTTGCAGAAGAGAACCCAGATATAATTGAACCTAGCAGGTTGTTTAAGAAAAATAAAGCTATGGTTAGAGAAAGAGGTCCTCGATTAACTTGAATCAATAATAAAAAAATATATAAATTGGTATTTTGTTTTTTGCGATTCTGATTTTACAATCATTGGCACTATAAATACAGTACGAGTCTACTGCTAAACAAAAGTGCTTTCTGAAGATTGTCATTAAGAGTGACAATTGTGATGTCTTTCTGACCAATTCCTGCTTTGAAGTCGCTAATTTAACACAGCGGTTAATTGAAGAGCCTATTCCCACATACATTCAAAAACAATGAATATCATTAATGATGAAACTTCATTATAAATAATTTGTTAAGAGAATCAGATGTGAACATTCATGAAGAGTTCATTATTAATAGAACTACATAAAATAAATGCCAAAAGCACTGCTCTCACTCTGCATACTGACACAATTAAAAACTTAAATTTTTAGGTCTTTTTTACCTGACTAGTTAATAATTTATTTTTCTCATCAACTTTATTTTATTTTCAAAAAGTTTTTCATCTGGTCATAACCAGTAATTTAGCATTCACTAATACTACACCTTCAGGTCACTGAAGGTTAAACCCATAAAGTTCAAGACATATAAGTATATTTATACACATATAAATCCTATGTACTTTTAGCAAAACAATATATTGTAATAAAAATCTGTGATTATAAAAATAATAATAATATCTTACCTTGGTCAAGTATGTATCAAATTTGGTTTTTGGAATATTTTGTATTTCTACAGTTATCAATACTTTTCATCACGATGCTGTGCTGTAAGCATACAATACGACCGAGCCCACAGTGAGTCGAAGTGGATCTTTATTTAGCAAAATAATTTATTACATGGCTACTGGAACACCTAAAATTTCAGAATTTCTCAGCCGAAAAAAATTATTTATAACTAAACAAAACAAAATTAAACAGCCATTTACATTCCATGGCTTTACACATGATAGATGGAGAGATTAAAAAATAGATTGAGTTAAACAATTGATATTTTCAATAATTATCATGTTTACCCCGCCATGCGAACTTGATAAATCGACACCATGATCCACTAAAACCATTTTTTTTAAATGCAAAAAGAGCAATTAATCAATTTTAAAAAATAATAAGTTTCTCATTCTCATAATCATTTATCTTTCTAATAATGCGCTTTTTATATCATTTATATGTTCAATATGATTGTTAGATATGATTTCATGCGACAAAACGTTGGATTCTTGATTTTTAGGCGCTAGTAGAAGACACCTACGTGCTTTGAGCTTAAAGCACGCAAGTAGTTAAAGGACTGTTACTCATTAATAATATCTTATATACCTATTTAGGGAAATACTTGGTTTCAATAAAAGCCCATATACATAATTATAACTTTATTGAAACTTGTTTAAACGTCACATTGTTCAGGTTATTGCCTATGATAATCACAACTACAAAGATTACACTTAATGTTACTCCACCCTGCCATTATCAGCCAGCCCTACATCCTTATCACAGCATCGTCAGTGTTACAAACCACAAGAATTTTCTTCTATATATTACCATAGTTACGCGAAAAGAATTCGACCCACACATAAATCAGTTATATGCCAAAATAATCCTTTGATTGTTAACAAGTGGTACAGCAAAGGAGTGGAATAGTTGCCAGCATCTGTGTCCGATTACAATGTGGGTATCTTCAATGCAAGACTAAATAGACTTGTGTTAAGTCAGTGCGCTTCACCATCTTATCACCACTTGCCATCAGGTGGGATTGTAGTTAAGCGATGGCTTAGAATTATATCTAAAAAAATTGTAAAACTAAAAATTTTGTACAAACAACTTCAATGTAAATAAAATGAAATAACTCAAAAACTACTGGTCTGATCTTGATCAAATTTATGGGACAACATGAGAAGCACCAGATTTCGAATAAAAAAAGAATCATCAAAATCGGTTCACCTACTAAAAAGTTCTGAGGTAATACACATGAAAAAATAGTCAAATTTAGTACCTACTCCTTTTTGAAGTCGGTTAAAAATACAGAAAAAATCGTAGTCGATAACAAGGTTACAAACATATCTAAGCAAGCCATTATCATTGAACGTACCAATTCGAACTTTAAACATGAATATCTTATACATTATAAAACTTAAAAAATTAAAAACCGACTTACAACCGACCATCAGATCATGACCAAATTTATATGGGACCACCTCTGAGATATCCTTTTTCTAACAAATAATCATCGAAATCGGACAACGTAATAAATAATTATCTCTGAACATACTTAAAAAATATATCCCAATAAATTGCGAGTTTCCTTGTTTTGGAGTCGGTTGAATACTGTTTTTGTGGGTTGCATTCTTTTTGCGTAATTAAGTCTACTCGTATATTTTGTATATTTAACATATATATTTTTAATATTACATGATAATTAGGGTTTAATACAATAACATACATTCTCTTATACATAACACAAAAACATTTTAATAGGTATTTGATCTAAACACTATTAATAAAAAGGATATTTTTGTTGTTTTAAAGCTAAAGATATGAAGAGTATCCAAGCAGTCAATAATTAAGCCTGTTAACTTTTCTACAAGTCAGTACTGAAACCAAAACAGTTCAATTTACCTTTTTATGTGTTCTATAAAGAAATAACTTGTTCATAACTACTAAAAATAAAAAAAAGGTTATTTAAAATTGTAGCAATCCAAAAACACAAAAATATGAAACAATTGGATACTCCAACGAAAACATTTAAAAAGAAAAATGTTAATTTGGTGAAAAATAGGCCGTGCCGTAATTGCATACAAAGCAAACCGCAATTATTGTCAGTCTCATCATCATGTCATTTCAAATATAATTTATTCTGCACAAGCTTGAAATGATTTATTAATAAAACCAAGAAATTATATATTGATTAAAACTACTTTTACGGATTTTATCGCGTTTTATTTTATTATACAAAACGTGTTATATATTTAAAAAAAAACGCGATAAAATCCGTAAAAGTAGTTTTAATCAATGTATAGTGTTCGCGTAAATATAAGAAATCATTAAGAAATTATATGTTTAAAAATTTTAATATAAAAATAGTTCTATCTGCAATCAAAATTACTATAAACCGTCGTTAATCACCCAAGTAAGTCTAAATTGTTTGTTACAAGTGACTCACGACAGTAGTCGAATGACGAATTTGAACTCACAACTTGCCTAGCTTGCTAGGCAGCTGTGGCTTTTAATTTACAATGACAGTATTTCAATGAGTTTAAGCGGCAGTAAGAGGGCAATATAGAAATGAGAATCGGCGTCTTCTTTATAACTAATGGAGAACTAATGGAGATATTGTATTTGTGATTGTGCAGGCACTGGGCTAGACGCCTGCCACTACTTTCACACTCAATCTAAACCCATATTTTTATCCTAAACGTGGTCCGAGTAGCTACGCTGCTCTTTGAACTCTGTCTACCCTTTCGGGTATTACAGGCGTAACGCTATACAAAATAATTGACTTGTGAGACTATCAGATGAATGTTTAATTTAAAGTAAGCGAGTAAAAGGAATGAAAACCCAATTTCGTACCAATTAAGCATGGACTAGAAAATGCAAACCTACACACTAAATAACTAACAGACGACGTGTGTGCGAAAAAATATTATATCATAATAAACTGATCACTTTCTTCTGTGTATTTTTATTTAAATAGCCATTCAAAACGAAAATAAATAATGTAGCTTACAATTTTTAGGAACACTTGTGTCTGTGGATGTTTGTTTAAATAAATCGTTAGGGACCAAAATTAATGTAGAAACTTTTATTAATAACCTGAATAGTTAATGTCTCAATAATGCAAATGTGATTTCGTTCTGCTATGTAATGGCGATGCAAGAATGTTTACTACCACATATCATCGCGTGGGTGTCGTAAGAGACTGAGGGAAACAAATGAGTTAGGCAGCAGCGTCTTCTGCGGTTGCCGACTTGCTCACCAAGCGCGGCAGCTGTGGAGAATATTTCTCCTGTGAGCTAATCTGTGGGTAATAATATGTTAAGCAGCGGAATTTAATACGCTGGTAACGGTGACGCAAAGTTACCTCTGTTCAACATGAAAAGTGCTGACACATTAATATAAAGCGCATATTGTACCATAAATATAACAATGTATTAGAATTAAAAGTTTTACAAAAAATCTACATAATAGCTTCTGAAGTCGGTGCTGAGACATAGTTTATTGAATTAAAGCACCGACTTTAGAAGCTATTATGTGGAATTTTTTTTTAGTTTTGAAGTTGGTTTCAACTTCTGGTACCCTTTTGAGTAATGTAAGGAATATCACAAATAAAAGAAACAACTAGAAAGTTGTTTAAATGGTTACATTTTTTTTCATCCATTTATTTCAATTTTCATCTTTTTCCACCCTTTTTTGGATGGAATTTTTTTCTTCAAATTTAAACAGGTCCACCCCAGATGTGCTTATTAATCGATTCAGCCGTTACCGAGAAATCGATGAATATATATAAAACCATACGCGTCGAATAAGGACTAATATATTTCACTGGGCATAGATTATATTTGATATGTAAATTAGGATCTTACATGTGATGTTCTACAAAAGTAATATTAATCGAGTATTTGCAATACATGTATATTTTTTATCATTGCAGCACGAATGGGTCGGCTAGTCCGAGGTAGGCCCACGTTCTCACAGAATATCAGCTTTAAATAGCAGCTTTATTTCGTATGGCGAGTGTAGAGAACCGGAAACCCTTTTTACTCGAAATGGGGCATTCCATCTTAGTCCTCAGGAGTAACAACGCATCAGCACATTCGTTTCGAGCGTTTTGAAATGAGGATAAATGCAGATGTTTATGGGCCACAAAATCCACTTACCATCAGGTGCACTGTGTGCTCGTTTGTCACATTTATACTATTAAAAATATTCCTAAACATTTAAAATATAGTTACATTTAAAATATTACCCTTACTTTTGGGCGCCGTCGTAGACGGTAAATTCTTCGCATCATGGTTCGTAGATTGATTTCACTATGAAAGTTGTAAAATCAAGTTGAACATTAAATTAGTGTAGTAAACAAAACTCATTTACTGACCACGTAATAGTGGTGTAAGAATTTCCACTACTCCTTATCGTCACATGGCAGTTATTGCAAATATCTCTCATCACGAAATCTATAGGGGAAGCCTTTTGTTCAACAGTGGTCTTTTAATAGGCTATAACGATCAATAAACCATGTCTAAGTTGGGGCTTAAATTTTTTAAGTTGAAAGTTTTACAAAAGAAAAAGTAAACAGGCGCGCTGTCCGTAAATTACACATAAAAAATGTAGTGAGGCAGTTCAGTTCTCTGACCCCAGATAAATTTCAGTTTCTGCCTAGATTTTTTTTAAATTTATTAACATGACCCCATGATCATTCATGTATACGAAGTTTTGACCGAAGCCGAAGGTTTCTAGCAAGTACAAAGTACCGAATTGAACGAACTGTTAACGAATAAGCGAGAGTGCGATGGACTTGTCATCGTGCGGGGTTCATACTCCGTTGTGGACTTGCGCCGGCCAGTCAAGTATAATAAAGTATAGTATATTACTAATTTTATCCACACTTGAACTGATTTTTTTAGAGTTTTTAGGTCTTCGGCTCTTCGGCTTCGGTATGAAGTCCAACTTCGGACGAACGCTAATTGTTGCACGTAATTATTATTACCACGAAAGGATTTTACTAAATTACACGAACTTGAGTTTGTGAAAGCTGCACTTACATCTATTCAATTGAATTCTACATTTTTGTGTTATAATAAAAATACAAATAATTAATAATAAAATAATTATAATTAAATTCTTAAGTGAAATCTTTAGTACTGTTAGTCTTGAAACAAGCGTAAATAGACCTTAAATCTTGGGAATAAGAACAAAATTATTTTGGTGATATTTAAACTGATTTTTATTGGTATGTTATTTAGATACAAAAATATATTTAAACTATATGCGTGTTTTTATTATTTCTAATTCAACATTTTAATGTCGCTAATTTATTCTTATAGATATAAATAACGTGAATAAATACTCAGCCATTATATGGCAACACACGAGTGTACATCACTACACATAATCATTAATTAAAATAATAAAGGAAAGAAACGGTACTTAACCGCAAAAATGGACCAAGAAAACTACGTTTAACTGATTCTTGGATAAATATTCAAACGTTACGCAATTTTAAGATGTCGTTAAGTCTCATGGTGTCACAGTCACTTTGACTTAAAGTGATAGAGACGGCACGAGACTTAACGGCATCTTAAAATTGAGCGGCGTTAAAGTATTTGGGCATCTACCGTTAGTAGTTTCGGCATCATACAGACTGTTTTATTACTCTGTATGGCTTTTCTTGTGTTCGTAGTATACGCAGTCCAGACTTCGATTACAGAATGTTCTGGTACAACACATCTTTTGTTTACATCCATGCACATAATATGCATTATATAAATATATTAATATTATTGTAATTTAGTAAATTTGTAATTTGCGGATTTTTAATTATACGTTCAATATTCTTTTTCTATAAAAAAGATGTAAATTGAAGATAGGTTGACCTTAGATAATGCTAACATTATTTGCGAGATATGAAAAAACTTTAACATGCTAATCATCGAAATGGTTTTGTCACGAATAAATGATTATTTCCAAATACTTCAACCGTATTAGTTAAATAGGAAAAAGAAGTATTGACATTGGTGCAGCTAAAAGAAAGTGGGACGGGGGGCTGACACCGTTTAAAAAGATACATAAAGATCGTTAACGAATAGCTTGGAGACTCACCTTCCTCTTGGAATTGGTAAAAAAGTTACACCAACGTCAGACACAAGTGCAATGCTGTCTGATTGAACGGCCTCAATCATCGTAACCTTCGGCGGCTTCTTTAGCGGTCTCGGCCGGGGGGATGCTGCGGCGGGAGCCAGCAGATTCCGTCGAGCCAGCAGAGCCAGCCAATCCAGCAGAGCTCGCCGAGCCCACAGAGCCAGTGGGAGATGCAGGACGCGCACGATCAGGACTCATGCTGCCACCTACATTAACCACAAACAGAGGCACAGTTTTTACTATACTGTCTTCGATGATCAGTATAATTAATTCAAACTACTTTTACGGATTTTATCGCGTTCAATTCGAATTATATTTAATTCCCGACGTTTCGGGTACTTTCCAGCACCCATGGTCACGGTTTATTGATTAATTGTAGTGTTCGCGTAAATATAAGAAATCATTACAGTACAATTAAATTCAATATAAAATTTACGTATGTACCGCGAGAACCGTAAAGCACGCAGAAGAGGAGGGAGGGGAAGATGAACTTTAGTTCAATGGTGCTGACCTGCGGAGCTGTGTCGTGAGGACCGTAAGTACGCGGAAGAGGAGGGAGGGGAAGATGAACTTTAGTTCAATGGTGCTGACCTGCGGAGCTGTGTCGTGAGGACCGTAAAGCACGCGGAAGAGGAGGGAGGGGAAGATGAACTTTAGTTCAATGGTGCTGACCTGCGGAGCTGTGTCGTGAGGACCGTAAAGCACGCGGAAGAGGAGGGAGGGGAAGATGAACTTTAGTTCAATGGTGCTGACCTGCGGAGCTGTGTCGTGAGGACCGTAAAGCACGCGGAAGAGGAGGGAGGGGAAGATGAACTTTAGTTCAATGGTGCTGACCTGCGGAGCTGTGTCGCGAGGTCCGAAAAGCACGCGGAAGAGGAGGGAGAGGAAGATGCACTTTAGTTCAATGGTGCTGACCTGCGGAGCTGTGTCGCGAGGTCCGAAAAGCACGCGGAAGAGGAGGGAGGGGAAGATGAACTTTAGTTCAATGGTGCTGACCTGCGGAGCTGTGTCGCGAGGTCCGAAAAGCACGTGGAAGAGGAGGGAGGGGAAGATGAACTTTAGTTCAATGGTGCTGACCTGCGGAGCTGTGTCGCGAGGACCGTAAAGCACGTGGAAGAGGAGGTAGGGGAAGATGAACTTTAGTTCAATGGTGCTGACCTGCGGAGCTGTGTCGCGAGGACTGTAAAGCACGCGGAAGAGGAGGGAGGGGAAGATGAACTTTAGTTCAATGGTGTTGACCTGCGGAGCTGTGTCGCGAGGACTGTAAAGCACGCGGAAGAGGAGGGAGGGGAAGATGAACTTTAGTTCAATGGTGTTAACCTGCGGAGCTGTGTCGCGAGGACAGCAAAGCACGCGGAAGAGGAGGGAGGGGAAGATGAACTTTAGTTCAATGGTGCTGACCTGCGGAGCTGTGTCGCGAGGACTGTAAAGCACGCGGAAGAGGAGGGAGGGGAAGATGAACTTTAGTTCAATGGTGCTGACCTGCGGAGCTGTGTCGCGAGGACCGTAAAGCACGTGGAAGAGGAGGTAGGGGAAGATGAACTTTAGTTCAATGGTGCTGACCTGCGGAGCTGTGTCGCGAGGACCGTAAAGCACGCGGAAGAGGAGGTAGGGGAAGATGAACTTTAGTTCAATGGTGCTGACCTGCGGAGCTGTGTCGCGAGGACTGTAAAGCACGCGGAAGAGGAGGGAGGGGAAGATGAACTTTAGTTCAATGGTGTTGACCTGCGGAGCTGTGTCGCGAGGACAGCAAAGCACTCGGAAGAGGAGGGAGGGGAAGATGAACTTTAGTTCAATGGTGTTGACCTGCGGAGCTGTGTCGCGAGGACTGTAAAGCACGCGGAAGAGGAGGGAGGGGAAGATGATCTTTAGTTCAATGGTGTTGACCTGCGGAGCTGTGTCGCGAGGACCGTAAAGCACGCGGAAGAGGAGGGAGGGGAAGATGATCTTTAGTTCGATGGTGTTGACCTGCGGAGCTGTGTCGCGAGGACCGTAAAACACGCGGAAGAGGAGAGAGGGAATGATGAACTTTAGTTCAATGGTGTTGACCTGCGGAGCTGTGTCGCGAGGACCGTAAAGTACGCGGAAGAGGAGGGAGGGGAAGATGATCTTTAGTTTAATGGTGTTGACCTGCGGAGCTGTGTCGCGAGGACCGTAAAGCACGCGGAAGAGGAGGGAGGTGAGGATGTACTTTTGATCAATGGTGTTATCTGGGGAGCTGTGTCGTGAGGGGCGTACAGCATGCACGATTGGAGGGTGGGTATACATTTGTTCCGCGGTGCTGACCTGCGAAGCTGTGTCTCGAAGGGCGTACAGCAAGCACGATTGGGGGGTGGATATACATTTGTTATGTGGTGCTGACCTGCGGAACTGTGTCTCGAAGAGCGTAAGCAAGGGGGGGTGGGTTTCCTGCGGCTGTGTCTCGAAGGGCGTACAGCAAGCGCGATTGGGGGGTGGGTTTACATTTGTTCCGTGATGCTGACCTGCGGAGCTGTGTCACGAGGAGCGTACAGCTTGCGCGATTGGGGGGTGGATATACATTTGTTCCGTGGCGCTGACCTGCGGAGTTGTGTCGCGAGAGATGTACAGCATCGCGATTGGGAGGTGGGTATACAATTGTTCCGTGGTGCTGACCTGCAGAGCTGTGTCGCGAGGGGCGTACAGCATGCGCGAGTGGGGGGTGGGTATACATCTTTTCCGTGGTGCTGACCTGCGGAGCTGTGTCGCGAGGGGCGTACGGCATGCGCGATTGGGGGATGGATATACGTTTGTTTCGTGGTGCTGACCTGCGGAGCTGTGTTGCGAGGGGCGAACAACATGCGCGATTGGGGGGGGGTATACATTTGTTTCGTGGTGCTGACCTGCGGAGCTGTGTCGCGAAGGGCGCTCGGGCGTGTCTGCGCGCTGCTTCTTGGCGGCGGGGTCGTCGCGCGCCTCGTCCACCTGCGCCGGGCACTCCAGGTGCACCAGATGGAACACCTGTACATAAATACCAATCGATCGAAAAGCGACTATATTGTACTACCTTTCAGTCATGTAGTAGTTCTGAACTAAGTACATCGAAAAAAATAGTGTCTCATTTATTTTAAGCCCCCACTGTAGATATTTTCCTGTACGTTGGAAGCAGTCTGCGGATGTAAGTTACATATGGACACGCACCAAGATTTCGAACAATTATTTATACTATACTTACGCTGTACTCATCCCGTGTGGGAAAGTGCACCGGCACTGGGGTGCCGAGCTTTCAACTGTATAAGTGTGTTTTTTAATACTTCATCTCTTAGTAGAGATTCGAACATGTTCACATGATTTGTATAGTGTTACAACTTTGCGAACTTTCATATAATTTTCAATAATATCACTTTTAGGAATTCTATAGCGTTTAATTCCCAATGTTCATGTGTTTTGCAGCATCCATTGCCACAGGCGAAGCGAGGACTAAAATGTATGACGCCTCGATGTCATAGTCAAGCCCAAATACAGGTTTTAATTATTAATATTGATCCAATCTAAGTTAAATGAGCTTACTGCATCTCGAAGTCTATGTGTGCTTGGGTTTAGATTTAATTTTATTAATTACAGGATCCCAAGCAGGTGGTAAAAATAGTATTTACTGTACTGAAATTAGAATACTTTTTTAATCTCAATAGGCTCACGAACCATTTTCTTTCCATGTTCTTTCGTGACGTTTTCTGATTTATCTAATCTTAATGTTATGGCGAAGGCCGTCTAGAATATAATCATAGACAGACTTGTAGACTTTCCGGAGCATTTACTTTAGGTAAGATTTATTTTATAGAATAAGTGTGACAAACGAGCACAGCGTCCACCTGATCGTAAGTGGATGCTGTGGCCCATAGACATTTACATTTATCCTCGATTAAGAATCAAAACGCTGATGGGTTGTCACCCCTGGGGACTAAGATACAATAGTTCATTTCCAGTAAAAAAGGGTCTCCGGATGTCCACACCCCCCAAACGAAATACAGCAGTATTAAGCCGCTATTTTACGCTGATATTCTGTGAGAGCGTGGTCCTTTCTCAGTCGAGCCAACCCATTCGTGCTACGACCATAATATAGCTGCAGCGTGGCTCTACCACGTATTAATAAGATTAGAAACTGTGTGCATATTAAAACAAGGAAAGTAAACATTCTGCCACAGGTTCAAAAACAAAGTTAAAATCGTTTTACTGCATTTTTAAAATAATACAATTACAACTTACCTCATTCACAGAATTGTGAGTGCCAACAATACGTATAATGGAAACGGGACGCGGGGGGAAATATATCACTTGCCACGACCTGTAATATAATACTGTATAAATATTTAATAAGATTTCACAAAAGGATTAATTAGTCCACAATATCATCCCGTGGGTGACGTAAGAGCTGACAGGGAAAGTGAAATAGGAGCTGGGAAGCAACATCAAACAAATCAACAGTCCTTAACAATAAGTGAGTATTACCGCTTATAAGCTCCTGCAGCTAATTTCAAACAAAGAGAGCTATAGATGCGTTCACCTGTGTGTTTTTTGATTCAGATACTGCCCTCTTATTACGGACAAGCTGTAACGAACAATGAAGATTAATGAGTGGATAATCAGTGAGACACACCTGCAGTGGTCGTGTGTGCGGTCGGCGACCATTTCCCAGTGCCAGTAGTTGAGCGAGGTCTCGACGTAGTAGGAGTAGTGGCGGTAGTCGCAGTCCCACAGTAGCATGCGCAGCGAACTCAGCATGTAGGGCTGCGCCAGTTGCACCACGATGGCGCCGGAGCCCAGCTGGTGGCACGTGTAGCCCTGCTCCCAGTCGTAATGCTCCGTGTCGCCATTCAGCAACGCGTTGCGCGACCGGCTGCCAATACAACGGCACCGATTTACTCTTACTGGGATACTTATAGGTTTATACAGGTTAACAGGTTATATACCTTAAACCTTGCTATTACCAACCAACCAAAACTAAGAGGAAGATAGAGACAAAAACACAAAATTTTAAACTATAACTAATAAATAAAGATTAAAATAGCAAACAAGCTTTGGCAATAATTAGGAACACCTCGAAAGATCAATTTAAAAAATAACAGTTAATGACTATTGTTCGGATATAATGATCTATATGAGTGTAAGAGTGAGCGTAACTGTGAATACGTATGCATGTGTGAATAGGTTCAATATTTAAAGGCATAATTTGTAAAACAGTCGCAAATAAATCATCACGTAGTAAACACGTCTTTCTGTGAGCACAAACTCTTACAACCCAAAGTGAACCCTAACATCTGCTACATAGTGGTCCTTCGAGCCGGATTTCAATTCGACTTACGACGTTCCTGCGCCGCGCGATAATAAAAAAGAACTGGTCGAGCGACGAGCTTAGAACAAAAGAAGACGTTTGCGTAAACAAGTTTTTATGCACCATAATATGGCATCGAGTTGTAGATTGGAAAGAAATAAATTATTATAACACGGAAATAAGAAACAACATTCGAGTTTATATACGATTTGAAGATAGTTTTATCTACTTATACCGAAAATGGCTAGTACACCGGAACAAATACTAAATGTGTTGGAAGATACAGCTATATTATTAGGAAAAACTCAAGCAAATTTAAAGAAATGTCCAAAACAACGCCTAACGAAGGGTTACGTAGAAACACGTATTAAAACCGTTGAAGAATACTGGTCTACATATAAAAGGGCACATGAAGAATTAGTGAAGTGTGTTCCAAAACCGAAAGGACAAGATATTCCGTATTTCGTTAATGAAGAATATTTTATTCAGGAAGATTTATATATTTGTATACTAGCCGATCTTAATGATTTATTATTTTCGCCGTCTTTGACACTTACGCAAGTTGATAATAATAATTCGGGTTCTTCTAAAGAAATGCATGTCAAGTTACCAAGGATTCAACTTCCAACTTTCTCGGGAATTTACGATGAGTGGCCTGCTTATCAAGATTTGTTTACATCATTAGTGCATAATAACACATCATTAAGTAACGTACAAAGGTTGCATTATTTAAAAGGAAGTCTTACGGGAGAAGCCCTGTCACTTTTGAAACACGTCCAAGTCATCGATGCTAACTATGAAATGTCGTGAAACATGCTTAAAGAGCGTTTTGGCAACAAGCGGATTATCATTAATTCGATATTAAAAAGATTGTTTACCCAAAGAAAAATAAGTGTATAAACGGCAAGTAACCTCAAATCTATTTTGGATACTACAACAGAATGCCTGAATGCATTAAAAAACCTTGGGCTGTCAACAAGCTCCAGGGATCCACTCATTATATTTTTAGTTGTACAAAAATTGGACTCAGAGACGCACCATGATTGGGAAGAAGAATCTTACAAGGATAATGCTGAAAACTTACCTACATGGGACTCTTGAGCTTTGCACGCCGCCAACCAGAGAAAGACCAACACCTAGAGGAAGGGAATACGCTGTTCACTTATCTACGAATACTGCGACTTCTACGAAACTAAGAGTTTGTGCTATGTGTAACGAAAATCATACATTGTGTCACTGTGAACAATTTATCAAGCTAAGCCCAACAGAGAGATGTGATTACATAAAGAAACATATTCTGTGCTTTAATTGTCTGGCCCCTGGTCACTCTGCACGACGATGTCGCCTAAAGATGTCTTGTGGAACATGTCACAAACGTCATCACACGCTAACGCACCATTTCACGCCTAAGACGTCATCAAGCCAGCCAGGCAATTACAAGAATCAAGACAAACATAACGATGTTGAAGATCATCAATCTTCTGCACAATCAGCCGAATCCAATGTCACACTTTCATCACATGTCGCTTCTAAGGTGTCCACCGCATCGCTGGCCACAGCACTCATACCAGTAAGAAGTTACGATTCAAAACAAGTGACAGTGTTACGCGCGTTGTTTGACCACGGCTCCCAGTCTACGTTTATGAGTGAAAGAGCAGCCCAGATGTTACGATTAAGGAGAACGCCTATCAATGGCACTATCACTGGCGTTGGCTCTACTAAAACAAACGTTAAATATGTTGCAGAAATTGAACTTCTCTCAAGGCACGAACCAAGCTTCAACATAAGAATCAGAACGTACATAATGTCAACTCAAATGACTACCCAACTGCCGACTCAAACTATCTCTACAAGCACCTGGCCGCACTTGCAAGGACTTGTATTGGCTGACCCAAGCTATAATCAACCAGGACGAGTAGACCTATTACTAGGAGTCGACGTGTGTGCTCAAATAATGAAAAGCGAAGTTATCAAGGGA